TAGCAATGAGGCGGGCAGTCTTGGTCAAACGATCAACTATCACCCAGATTTTGTCCTTACCCGAACGGGTCGTCGGTAATCCTCCCACGAAATCCATAGATATAGAATCCCATTTTCCTTGTGGAATTTCTAACGGTTGTACCAACCCCTTTACCTTGCAACGCTCAGCTTTTACCTTCTGACAGGTAAGGCATTTCCCAACAAACTCTGCAACTTCCTTCTTCATGTTAGGCCACCAGAAGAAACCCTTTACGTCCTTGTATAACTTGTCTCCTCCGGGGTGAACTGAATAGGGTGTATTATGACCTTCTTCCAAAATCCGTCGCTTCCACTAATCACATGACGCGGGTATGCACACACGGCGTTTGTACCTCAACACTCCATCCGCGGATAACTCAAACGGTCCCCCTTTTTCTTTAGTTAGATCATCCCTTACCTTGGTCAAAAACATATCCTTTTGCTACCCTTACTAACTCTTAAAAAGTGTAAGGAACAAGGAAACTCCTCTCAAAGCACAAGGTACAACACAACTTAAAGATTGACTAGTCAAATACTAGTCCTTGAGTATCAAAAATCAGGATTTTAGGAATCAATTCCTCAAAAGAAATAGAATTAATTACTCAATTAATTCATGGTTTGGAGTATGGATTTTTAAGGTGTCACATATATATATATATATATATATATATATATATATATATATATATATATATATATATATCCACCACATGCCACTGGATTAATGAAAGGAGACACCAGACACGTACAGCATACGAAACCAAACATTTATGTGTAATTAGTTATAAATTTTGTCTGAGCAAAATCACCAAATGACAGCACTAGCCCTACTGGCTTCCTACACCTAGTTGGTAACGTAGTTATATATTTGTATCGAATTTTACTATGCTCGGTTGGTAATGTAATTAGCTTATTTGATTATTGGTAGCTATTTGATTTGATTAAACAACCAATATACGTGTTTGATTAATTAACTTTTTGTAACAGTTTATTGCTCCAAAACGTTAAAATTTAAAAAGCTGGTCAAAGTCAATTTTTTCTAATCAACTCTTTGAGAAAGTCATTTTGCATGTAATCAACTATCAGCTAACAACCAATTACAAAATATCTTTTTACAATCAGCTAAGGGTATCAACTAATCAAAGTTACTAACACAATCAGCTAACGACTATTTACCGAACACATGAACTCTTAAACTCTACTATCTCACTTTTATTCCCTCGCGTGACAAATAATGATAAATTATCTTCATTCATATGTCTCAATAATTGACGCAACATCCTCTCTTTCTTCTTCTTCTTCTTCTTCTTCTTCTTCTTCTTCTTCTTCTTCTTTTTTTTCTGGATAAAAATTCAACAATATGTTTATCTTCAAGTAATAAATTTTTTTATTTGAAATCAGAATATCATACTGTAATTTAAAAAAAAATGCTAAAACTTTCCACTTGATGGATAATTCAAGCTCCAAAAAAATAAATCTTTTTACATAATATTTTTAAATGAAAATTTTACAATGTTAAGTAATAAAAATGTATGTCAATTATAATAAATAAAAAAGATGACAATATTTTTACAAATAAAATAATACTTTAATTTTTATTATTTACACAAAATATTACACGTTTTTTATTTATAGTAATTGAAATGTATTACTATTGAATAATTTTTTTTTCTTTCTTTTCTATCGTTGCTTCACGTTGAAAAATGTGTGGTAGACCATACCTGACAGTCTGGCACTATTATTATATTTATATTATATTTTCTTAATATTGAATGATTAGATTTGTTTTTGGAGAGCGTAATTTGGTGCGTCTCGCATCTTTTCATATGTTTGGGGAAATATACTTCATGCCATCCATATTAATGGCTCATCAAATTTAGAGTTCAAGCTTAGATTAAAAACAAATGCTACAGATAACATGGACCAGCGGCAGTGTGGGAGCAATCAGGAAAGGAGCTAAAAATTAAGTTGAGGGGAGGGGGAGGGGGAGGGGGGCGAAGATGAAGTGACAAATTCAGAAAAATTTTCTAAAGGCGAAACATTAAAACAAAAGAGATAATTTAAAAAAAAAATTACCTAAGAAATATAGCTGTAAATATTGTTGGATAAGGGCAAAAAATAAAACACATCGAAACTTTATAAAAATATTCATAACAAAATATGAAACATAATTAATTTGAATTAAAAACACCATAAAAATATGTTGATGCTAAATGATTCGAACTATGAAACATAATTAAGTTGAATTGAAAAGACTATAAAAATATGTCGATGCTAAAATTTGAACCCATGACCTTTACAATTGTCAAACATGTACACAACCAACTAATTTATCTCATTCTTATTTTTATTTAATAGTTTTTTTGTACTAATACTAAAACATGTACTATATATACATATATGCATACAAAGATTATATATGGGGTGGGAGTGGGGTGAGGGGGTTGGCAGCTCCGTCCCTGGGAGCAACCTCTCAAAGTGAGGGGGCTACTTGTGCGCAGTAAGCAAAGGTCTAGCCTCGGTGGTTCATGTACAGTTGACTTACCATGATTTACATCCTCCCAGATGCTCTGTCGGGCTGGGGTGTGGAGGGCCCTTAGGATTGGGGTTCAACCTTTTGGAAAGTATCAATTAAGACAAGAATTACAATATTATTTTCACTTTTAACCTAACTATTAAGCAATATTGTAAAAATCGGCCTAGACACTAGGCGCCCTTAGGCCGAGGCGATTTTAACTCTAGACGACTTTTAGTCGACCCACTGACTAACTGGCCGACTAGGCATTGAGTTGGGCCCCTAATTAAGCCGAGTTGAGCGCCTAACTCGATCGAGTCGGGCGCCTAACTTGACAGAGTCGGTGCAAAACTCGGCCGAGTGATTTTATTTTTTTTGCCTTCTCGGCTACTCTCTTCTATATTTCTCCAGCCATGTACTTAACTAACCATCTAACATATGTAGTTGACTAGTTTGGGCGATTATAATTGTCTAACAACTCCTAGCACTGAATCGAAAAAGTGGAGATGATAACTCGGATTACTTAGCCGCGTAGCCCCTAGATACCTGACTAGAGTCTAGCGCTTTCTGAAACATTGCTATTAAGTGATTTTACATTTAGTATTTAATTATTACTCCGTATACCAAATATAACAAAAATAAATACAAACAACCAAATGTGAAAATAACCTAATAGCCATATCGCCAAGTGTCTTAAGACTATTTCTTCTATAGGCACCATAAGTATCTCGTACAACTAATCATTTATTCACAAATCAATTATTTATTTACAAATTTTTCAATCCTCTATTACACCCAAAAAATTCTTAATACCGAACAAACAGGCCTAGAAAAGTTAACAATACACTACTGGAAATTATGTAATTTCCGACCACCTGAAAGTGATCTTAAATTAAATTGAAAGTCTTGCTCCGATCACTTTTGATATCCGGAAAAACTTTTATTGTTATTTCCGACCACTTTTTGGTATTAATTTGATTCAAGATCACTTTCAGGTGATCGGAAATTTCATAATTTCCAGTAGTGATAATTTTTTATTCACATATAATACAAAAGTTAGTTTATATATAATAAAAAGAGAACCGCATTTTTTACCATAAAAATTTAGTCTTGTAAATTAATTTATACAAATATAGCCCTTAATGGTTTACAATGTTGCACTTTTAGTCCCTATTGTTATATAATTGTCAAACTTCATTAATATATAAGGTTATTTTTGTCATTTAGCATCAATATTCACGGTTAAAAATGACGTACATATAAAGAATCTGCAAATTATTCTGTCGACCCAGGTTTACCTTGCAAGGTGGACCCAAGTCCAAATGTTCATAATTTACCTTTTAAAAATTCACAATTGTATACTAAGAACATACAATGTTAACATATATTTAATTGATTACCTTGTTTTGTATTCACAAATTTTTTTCAAATACTGTAGTCACACAATATTACCAAATTAGGATTTGATAATCCTGTATTATATTCACAAATTCTCTTCTACAATCGTTATGTGTTTTGACTTAGAAACACAGTTTATATTTTAAAAGTTCACAATTTCAATACTAAAAATACACAATTTATACGTTGTTTAGGACCAGGGTCCACCGTGGACCATTGTCCGTGGTATAACAACTCTAAAGAATCAAATTTTAATCATGAATGTTGATTCAAAATTGCAAAAATAACCTCATAAAAAGTGTTTGCTAATAAATTTTATAATCATATAATACCAAGAATTAAAAGTGTAATATAATAGACAATTAAAAAAACAAATATGTTTAAATCAATTAACAAGAGGCCTAGGATAAAAATGTTATTTTTCCTTATTCAAAAGTATGCTTTATTTACCCGTCCAAGGAAAAAGGTGGCCAAGCTTTAAGGTAGTGGGAGGAAGATGCCAAATTGACAAAGGAATAATATTTAACAATTTCGACCACAAAATTTTTAACTAATAAAAACTCTTAAATACATTGACCACTTTTATTGCGTCCATCTGTAAAATTCAATGATTAATACACCACTCCTCAATTCTTTTACAATATTTTAATATACGTACGTCACGTCTATAATCCTAATAATTATTATAAATTTTTCATAAAAATAAACAATTTTTACCACTAATTATTTCTATATTTTTTTGATTAAAATAACTTTAAATTTTCATCATCTATGAAAATAGGCAAGAAATCGTAAAACTTTCCTATAAAAAAAATACTGGGTATGAATTTATATGACTTATTGAGTTTTTAAATGCTTAAAATTAAAGTAGAGAGAAAAGGTACAGATTTCGAAGCAGAAAGCAGGGCGTAAAATTCCCCAGAAATTATGGGAAATAATAAAGCTTTTGAAGGCTTATTTTTATGTGTCGGTTCCATTAATAAAATTTAACTGAATATATATAGAATTTAATTTTTTATAATATTAAATTTAAAATTAATACGTGAAATCTATATATTTAAAAACTATATTTAAGAGAAGGTATTGGCAAATTTGCAAAATTGACTAAATACTGTCCTTATCGTTACATAGATTCTATAAAGTAAAAGCAACTAAATAATTGACAAGGAAATATGAGACAAAAATATATAAATATATTTATATGTAAAGGAAAAATAATTGTCAAGAATTTACAGATTATTACTCCTCAGGCAGGCTTCATCTTCTATCTGTTTCCCAGTCCGCACATTCTCGTTCAAGTTTCTTGAAGATCAAAGAAGCCCATCAATGGAAGTTTGTAGATCTGTGATTCCGACGCTTTATTCTGTTCATATTTTTATTAATTTCTTCAGAAGAAAAACAAGAAAAAAGGGAGAAGGGTGATGAAGTAAGGTACAGAGGTTTTGGGGGAGATGGATGGAGAAGAAGGTGGTGGGTTGTAGAAGTAGAATGGGAAGTAGGGGACGATTGGGTTAGGGGGCGGAGGGGTTGGGCCGGAGGGGTAGTTCTTGTAGGGTGGGGGGAAGTAGTACCCCACCCCTCCGCCGCTGGGGGGAGTGTAGGGTGGGTAGTTGGAGGTTGGCGGCGGCGGTGGGGAGTAGTAATTGGTGCCGCCGCCGCTTGAGGTGGGAGGAGAGGGTGGTGGAGGGCAGTTGAGGGTGGAGGGCGGCGGCGGAGAGGGAGGAGGTGGGGAAGGGGTGGTGCAAGGATTGTCACAGGCGGAGCACATTGTGCACTCGATTTGGTACTTGGATCCAGCCCATTCGCCACTCGCCGTAGATATCACCAAACTTGCCAACAAACAAATCTTGATGGCTATTAATTCCATTTCAAACACAAGACAGAATTGCAGAGGTTTCTTGAATGGATTAAGCAGGAGAAAGTGAAAGTAGGCAGAGAGGAGTGTTCCGGTGGACGGTGGAGGGTTGACAGATAGATAAAGGGGGTAGGGGTCACTTGTAGATGAAGTTAGATATATCATCACGTCTCTATCTGTTATATATCATATGATGATGCATTAAGAAAGGCTGTGTTGCTAGGCCAGGTATCCCACTTAAAAAGAGATGTTTATAATTCAGTGAGTGAATTAGTTATCGTGTCTCAACGTTAAAATTTTGGGTATACTAAAAAGAAAAAGGATGTATTATTGTTCGGGCTTAACTGAGTAGTTTAGTAGACAGTATTTGAAAAAAGAAATCAATATTAAAATTTGATAGATAAATTCTTTGTACGCATCAATACTTTGTCTGTTAAATCACTGGGTTATGGTGTTTTATTTTTTCACACATATTTTGTTAGGCATTTTAGAATTGGGGTTTTATCTTTTTGGAAAAAGAAGAATAATTTTACAATATGAACTCTCATTCTCTATTCCTTTACCTTTACTTTTTGATGTGACAAGAAATGTTAAACTATCTTTATTATGTAAATTTTAAGAAAAATGTCAATATTAAAATTTTGAATGAGAGAATAGAAATAACAATTAAAATTTGAGAGTCGAAGTAGTATTTGTGTGTCTTTACATACATTGGGGGTAAAGGGCAGAAGAGGGTAGGGTGGTGGTGGGAAAGCCCTTAATGCTAAGGCTAATGTTCAAAAAAGAAACGCCGACACGTTTTACTTTCTACAGCGCACCGCGTAGGGCAGGGTAGTTTCGTCATTTTCTTTTCAACCACAAGAGCAAAAAGGCACGTTATAGTGTAATATTGAGCCTAACTTGTCTTTACCAGATGAGTGTTGGACAAATATTTGCCAATTTTAAATTCAATGGATTATATTTCATTTTTTTTAATTGATTATAGTTACATTTTATTTGTACGTATCAAATTTGTAGAATTACAATTCCCTCTAATCAAATAAAAAATTTTGCTTATTTTTGAAATTATGTGTGTAAAATTCTAATTCATTCTAACTAAATGGACATGTTCGAGTTAAGTGTTCTTCATTATGAAGTATAAGTTTATAATATTCATTAAAATTTTGCACAATTAATATACTACGGAGTATGTATTTATTATCAGTCCACAATTTTTATCAACCCATTTTGATACTCAAAGTGCATATTAGAATGACAAAAGTGCCCATTCATAAAGGAACTTGAAAAGTCAGAAAGTAATTAGGAAGGAAAAGGGAAAGTGCACTTTGGGAATAAAGTCTCAAATAAGTGAGGGAAGTTTTTAATTTCTCAAGTTTGAATCTTTGGGGTCTGACAAAGTATTTAAGAAGATGTAAGTCACAGTGACTCAATAGGGCCAAATGCTAGTGCGTTCAAACCATGGTCTATTATCTTAAATATTACTTACTGAACCATTGAACTAAACTCGTACAGAAAGCATTGATTTGAGTCATTTAACAATTGTTGGATTCTAAAAGGAATTTAAGTACATTGTGTATATGTGTGTATACACTCACATACATTTTAATGACTTGGATGAAAGGACATTTTTGTTTTATCAAACTGAAATTTGTTAAAATATATAATAGTGTTACGGAGCTTTTTTCTTTTGCCCTATAGGGTACATTTTTGCGTATGGAGAAGAGACTAGTAGAAAAAAAAAAAAAAAAAAAAAAAAAAGCAAGTTTATCGTTCATCTTAAGGTAATTAAGTATGATTTTATTCAAATCATCAATGTATAATTATGTAATGTATGTCATGTATGTACTAAAAATTATATATATATACACACACGCGCGACAAAAACTTGTATAAAATTATTTTATGCGCAATGAATATCAAATAAGTAATGTTTTTTAATAAACTTAAAATATACTATTTTTTAAAGCCAACAAATATTTCATTTTTATTGCAATATATTACTTATTCCTTAAACAAATATTAATAAAAATGTAATATTTATTGACTTGTAAAAATTATTACGGAGTATATATTTTTGCTAACAAAATATTATATATTTTATATGCGACAATCTCACATGAGACTGGTCGGATCAAGATCAAATGTAATACTTATACTAAAAAATATAATACTAACAATAAATAAAATGTTTATTACTTATATGTGAAAGTGTAATACTTGTGAAGGAAAATGTAATACTTTTACATTTTGATTGAAAATATTTCATTTTTCTCAAAAGTATTACATTTTCCCTTATAAGTAACAAACACTTGCCAACATTACTTATATGGAAAGTGCAATATTTTTAAAGAAAAATATAATATTTTTACATTTTGATTAAAAGTATCACATTTTTCTTCAAAAATATTACTCCATTTGTCCCATTTTACTTGTCTTACTTTCATTTTTAGTTTGTCAAGATAGTGTCATCTTTTCAAAATTGAATATAGCTATCACTCTACATTTTCCAATTTACCTTTTTGACTTTTCAAATTTCTAGAGGTAAGTACAATTGTACTTTGTACAAATAACACCTACTTTTTAGGGACAAAATTAGAAAGTTAGTAACATTTGGTATATATGTTGTATTAAAAACTGTGCAAAAAGCAAATAAGACAATCAATTAGGAACGGAGGAAGTACATTTTTTCTTATAAGTAATATATAAGTAATAAATACTTTATTCATAATTAGCATTATATTTTTTAGTATAAATATTACATTTTATATTGAATTGACCTAACTCAACCCATCTCACAGATAAAGATTTGTAAGACGGGTTCACACAAGTGTAGGCGTAAATAAAGTGGGTGTTAATTTTTAGACAACAGAATCTGTTGAATTGTCAAATGATACATTTCACGTGCCGATTGATTAGCTAATAGAGTGATTATACCCTTTACAACTATGAAAAATCCCATCCAACCACCCTTGTTTAATTTTAATCCAATTTAATTATTAATCGTAAATAAATCAGAATTGTTTTTTAAAAAAGGAAAAAAGTCAAATGTAACGTTAGCATAAGCTTTAATATCGTTGTGGAAGGAGCGTATTTATGTCTGCATGTATTGACGTAAAGGAAAGGAGATCAGATGCAATGAAACGGCAGTTTTGTATAGTTGACAATGGTCCTAGCTAGCTTCCCACTAAAATAAAGTTACACACCTCACTCACTCATCATCTATGCATTATTAATGCCATTTTTATTTTTAGTATGGTAGATTAAACTTCATTTTCATTAAATTTAGTTCTAAGTTAATGTTTTAGGAGTAAAATAACAAATATTAAAACTGTTATATATTATCAAATAAAATTTGAGAGAAATTTAATTTAAAATCGGAAAATTGACGTTTTTCGTCATTCTTTTGCGTACAAATGACATTTTGTCCCTCCACTACGAAATAGCCTTTTTTTTTTAATCCAAGCCTCAAGGAGAAAAACTAACTTCACAGAGAATTAAGAGACGAAAAGTTGTAATAGATATAGGCGGAAAATAATATTTTCTTATAAGAGTTAATTTTACTTTTGGCCCTATAACTATTGGAGTATTGTTAATTTCAATCTACAAATTATAAAATTGTCAATTTAGTACCCTAACTTTTTAATTTTTCTCAATTTCTGTCCATCTGGCTAAATTGCCTTTGAAAAGTGACAGAAAAATTTTAATGGATAAAATCTTGACCGCAATTTAGTCATTTGCTCCTCCTCTTTTCTTCTTCTCCCTTTCTTGCCCGTCGTCCTAGCCGCACAACACATCCCTGAATAGCGCCCTGCTCTCCGGCGACTTGAGGGAGTCAAAGATCTCAATGAACTGGTTGCCGTTGCGCGGGTGGTCGTCGGGCAAGCCTTCGGCGATGGTCGCAATTTGGAAGCCTAGGTAGCGCTGGAAACGCGAGTTGATGTTGGCGTAACGGGAAAGGCGGTGGTGGATGTGGTCGATGACGAGGAAGGTGATGTTGACGCCGGCGAGGCAGAGAAACTCGGCTATTGAACATGTTGTTTGCAGGGCCTTGAAGAGGTAAATGGAAGATGAGAAGATCTCCATGCTCTATTTCCATTGCGACTTTCTTCTTCCTCATAGCTTAATTAGTGGGAGGTGGCTTTTTTGGCGGCGTCGAGTTCTGCGTGGTATGACATTGAAGAAAGAGCTCGCACTCCAAGTCTTCGAGCAAGAAAGGGATTGAAAGTTGTAGTGCTAAGTCGGTGCTTGAGATTGAAATGCACTTGTTTGCCGACGAATAGTTATGGTGAATTTGTCACTTTGTCTTCTCAATACACGTGTTTGCACAGGGTGGTAAAATTAACCGCTAGAGCTCTACTACCTCGCCAGAATATTTAGTCATCTTTACTGATACAGTGAAGGAGAATGAAATAGAATAATAGAAGTAAATAAAAGGACAACCAGGACTATGTGGTCTAATGGTATCCGGGTTGAATTTTTATTTGGAAGGTTGTGAGTTCGAGTCTCAGTGGAGGCGTTATTGGCTCTTTGTGTTTCAGTAGGTTGAGAAAGTATATGAACAGATACTACAATGTAATAGAGCTAGTAACATTCAAATAAAAGGACAAAATAACCCTTAGGATTTTATCCTTTAAATTTTCAGGCCGCTTTTTGCCGACAATTTGGCCGAATGGTCTGAAATTGAGAAAAATTGAATAGTTACGGTACAAAATTGATAGTTTTGAAATTTGTGGACTGAAATTAATAACACCTCAATAGTTTTAGGATCAAAAAGTGAAATTAACTCTTCTTATAATTTATAGATGAAAAGTGTCATTTTTCCTTTTGAGTCAAATCCTAAAGAGGACTTGGATGTCCAACAATCAATAGCCACACGTGTCTCACCAAGTTGAGTAGTTGCTATAATTTCTCGCCAAGACAACCACTATCACCATCACCTTCTCCACCACCTACTATAGTTGGCCCATGCCACGTCACCTTTGGTTGCAATCGGTTCCCGCCCCCTCCCTCCCCCCCCCCCCCCCCCCCCCCGCTATGCCAAGTCTAAGCCCTGCGTTGGTAGGCGGGGAAGGGAGGGTGGGGGGAGGGGGGGGGGGGGGAAGGTGCCCCTCGACTCTCTTGAAAGTTTATAGATCAGAGAAAGTTTAAAATTTTGAGGTTGGATTCTGACAATTATTTATATTTATAAGAAAAAA